CAAATACCTGAGCAAAGATAGCAAGATAGTAATCCCTTCTGTATCCTAAATAAAAGTGGAAGAACCTGTCCTTTTCAACAATAAAGATAGAAATGTATACAGTGAGAAGCATTAGCAGTTTCTCCTCAGCTAAAAATAAAATAGCTAGCTGCCACATGCTTACAATAATATTTATGGCTCCTACAATTACACTAACAGGTATAATGCTCTTGACTCAATCCATTCATGGCTACATTTCATACTACATAAAAAGGGAAAAAATAGTCAGGATATAATACAGACAGACCAAAATGACTATTTTCATTTATGCTTTCCCTACCTCATTTCCCCCAGCTTCCTCTCCATCCACGTCTGCCCCTAAATTCTGGGTGGATCAGCTGAAGAACTAATGTTTTAAGTGATATAGACAGCAGCAAAGTCAAGAGGTCATAGGTTGGGATCTCCCTGGCGCTCCAGTGGTTAAGACTCCGCACTTCCACTGCAGGGTGCGAGGGTTTGCTCCCTGGTCAGGGAATTAAGATCCCACATGCCGCGCGCCACGGCCAAAACAAAACAAAACAAAAACTTCATAAATTTACATGAAAAAGAAATTTGCGGAGTTCCCTGGTGGCCTAGTGGTTAGGATTCCGGGCTTTCACTCTCATAGCCCAGCTTCAATCCCTGGGTGGGGAACTGAGATCCCACAAGCCACAGGGCGCAGCCAAAAAAAAAAAATTAGCTCCTACATTGTCGTGCGTGTGGGCACATGCAGGCACGCGCTTTCTTGCTTTCTTGGCATAGGCTGTCCCTCAGGAGTGATTTAAATTTCTAGACACACCTCCTTGGCTTTGGCCAATGGGGCCACTTGCTTCCCGGCTGAGGTACCCTTTGTAGCCAGAAGTGACACTTTAGTTCGAGCCATCGGCTCTAGGGAATTCTCTATTGCCCTAGAGGGGCCCCATATCAAGGGCTAAGTTCACCTCTCATCAGCTTGGGCATTATATAGATGACATGATTTACAAAAGAAGTTTCTCCTACCTACATGCTACATGTCAGCCTGTCACTGTCATTTCAGGTTCTACAGCAATCATTCATTCCTTTGAGATAAACACTGTTTCCTATATGAACACTCCTTTATTGCGGTTATCACCACACCCACCATGAAACTAGTATCACTGCCAGGGGAGTCAAAGCCAGTCATCCTGGATTCTAGTTTGAAGCTGAATTCTTAAGCAAGTCTTTAGTGTCTCAAGTTGCAATTAACTCACCACAGGCATTTGAATAACCTAGGTTACTTAAGATTTCAGATTCCTGAGTCCCACTTATTTAAGCAATTTTTGGAAACGCAGCATGGAGATCTGCATTTTTAACAAGCTTCCCAGGTAATTCCTGTGTACTTGCTCAGATCCATAAGGCTGGGTGTAGTTCGTCTGTAACTCTATCTATGAAAATACCAAGATAAACCTTTACTCTCCTGTACTTCAGATACAGACAAAATGAAAAATAACGATCTAGAGTAACTGGTCCTTAGTTCTTCCTGGGTGAGATACTTCTAGTCTGTAACAAAGTGCATTAGTTCAGCAAGAAGGAACAAGTGGCCAAGTGAGGTCATAGCTCTGAGCTGTCAGAAAGTATGTCACAGCAAGACTCATTGCAGCTATTTCACAAACATGTTCACGAAAAAGGCTCACTGAGGCAGAAGAGTGGTTGAGCATAATCTATAACCGCCTCCAGGAAAAAAAAACAACTCAGGCTCTAAAGTATCTGGGAACAAATGGGCAAATCTTGACCAAATACACAGGATTCCTAAAGTTTGTATTAAGAGATACCAAGAGCCTTCAAAAGCATTACTAAATCAGTGTCAAGAAACGAGATACAGGGACTTTACAGATCCTTTTTAACACCTTGTTTTAGTTAAGGGCAGAAAAATGTTTTTAAAAGACCACAGATCTCAGCTGCATAGAATTCTCATGGATTGCATATGAGAAAGGGTCCATCTGTTTCATTCTCTAATCTAAACCTAACATACACAACAATGCCTGGCATATGGAAGATGCTGGGGAAATACTTATTGAATGAGATAAAACAAATGGACCAATCGAGAGAACAGTAAGGTTTCTATGTAGCTCAATGCCAGTGCATAATAAGGAATATGACAGAAATAAAGGCTATTCACCAGTAGCCAGGTTTTTCTACATTAAAAAAAAAAAAAACTCAAGCAGGTCTGCCAAACCTCTCTGTAAAGCAAACTCAAATAGCTTTTTGGCTCTGTGCTTCATCCTTCTAAAACTACAACTGTCAGACACAAATCAAGCTTTAAAAGGTCATCAGCTACAATGCTTAGATTTCCTGGTCTTACTAGCCCAAGAAAAGTTTTCATACCCAAGACCTAGTTCAACAAAATTGAGACATGAGCATTACCAGAAGCAGCTATATATTTTTAATCTAAAGACCGGGCATACAGAAAGCATTTTACATAAATTCTCGAGTCTTAATAATGTAACAGGAAATATGGGCCCCAAATAAGCCCCTTTCTGTAGGTCTTAATCCTTGGCCTCTACAGTAAAGACAACCCCTGGTAATCCAATGAGTATCTGCTACCCACCCACATATTACTTGGGAGGACACAGAGGAAGCAGCTATAGGCCTGCCCCTTATCATCTTTACTAAAAGATTGCAGAGAGCCTGAGAAGCAACATTATGGCCTAGTGAGCCTTTTAATTCTACAGATTCAGACTTATTAGGATGATAGCTGGAGCTGGTAGTTTCTAATCTTCTACCCATAAATGCTCAAGAGGGTCATGAATTGCAATGAGCTTTATTCAACGTTAGTTTTGTCAAATGTCGCAGAAGAATCCCAGTGATTTATTCTTTATACTTCAGTTTCCTATCTCTAAGTTAGCAATAAGCTTCCCGTGCTCTACTTAGCCACATTTAATTTTTAAGAATCTTCAGAGGAAAAATGTTTCATATATAATTAAAAAGAATGTTCCTTGTTAAGAGTTGGGATTGAGCTCAAAGTAAATCAGTCCTGGTACAATCCCCTTCTAGCTGCTCTGCAGAGAAAAAGGACACTGATACATAAGGAAGTAACCAAGATGAAAAGGAGAGAAGAGATACAGCTTAAAGTGAAGAAATGACACAGACCCCCCGCATACACACTTTAAAAACTTTATTTATATAAAAAAACTCATTTGTTTTTAAAAGCATTAACAAGAGAGAAAGAAAAACAGAAAAGGTATGGAGCAGAAGACATGCCCCTTAGTAGTGTTCGGTGGGACGGTGGGATTTTTGGTTCTCTGAAATTGAACGTTTAGTGTTTTTATAAATGAAAAGGAAAAAACAAACGGTTACAGGTCCCCAAAAGCCCATGGCTGTTCTATTACCCACACCCCACCGACAAAAAGAGCACCAGGAAAAGAGCAGAAGAAGACAAGAGAAACCAAGAGTGGAGCCACATCTGGATGGGGGCGATTTCCCCTGTGCAGTATGCTCTTAGGGTCACAGAGAGGAAAAGGCTCCTTTTTGCCAGAAAAGGAGTGGGATGAAATGTGAAGGGGAAAAGGGGGTAAATAAGGAATTTTAATGCAGAGGGGAAGGGGGGTGGTGGGTTGTGCACTTTTCTCCTACCCCAAAGCCTCAATATATAAAGGAAGGGGGAGAGAGGAGGATAAAGATTTCCAGTTGCATTAAACAGAGCTTTTAGATTAAGGGGAGGAGTAAAAGGCAAATAAGGGAAAGGGTTTAAAAAAAAAAAAAAAAAAAAAAAAAAAAAACTGAAACAACTTCTTTCCAGGGGAGGAGTAAAAGGCAAATAAGGGAAAGGGTTTAAAAAAAAAAAAAAATCAACCGCATAGCAGCTGATTCCTCTAGCCCAACCTGCTAATATACACTAAACTAAAAGGAGGAGGAACAGGGGTGGTGGGGGGTCGGGGAGGGGGATATGGACACGACTTCCCTATAACCCCTTCAGAGACGACAATCATTCTGGGCAACTAAGGAGTAAGAGCCACACCACTCACTCCTCCCACCAATCTCATTTGGAGGTTCATCAGAACAGGATTTCTGCAAAATCCCAACATATACAGTTGAGAAAAACCTTCTATGGCTAAAATTAGAGGCTATTCCAATTCCCAGTGGAGAGACTGAGGTTCTCTAGGTCACCTCTCCTCTTCTTTCTGCTACTTAGGGCCAAGAAGTAGGTAAGAAAGCAACCAAATATAATTTGCAAAATCATGAGAAATGAGACTGCAGAGGCAAAGAAAGGCACATGGAAGGGAAGGAGGAGATGCACCCCAGGCCAAAGGCACAAAGAAGAGGCAAAGCCAGGGGCGAACCCCACCGTTTTAAGGGTAAAGGGGGCAGGAGTATGTACATCAAGTCCTTTAGTCAGCCAACCAATCCAGGGAGGAAGCAGGGGAGGATGGGGCTATAAGGTTGAGAAAAAGGAGAAATAAGGGCAGGGGGAAGCCAGCTTTGTAGCTTCCTGACAGTTTCAGACTAAATGATTCATGTACATTCCTACTCGCTCCTCCTAGAGGCCTTCTCCTCGCCAGAAGACATTTCTGCTCCTTCTCACCCAGAAAGTCTTCCTTGACATATTCTCCTCTTTCTACAGCCTCTTGCAAATGGCCAGGCCAAGTCAGCAGACATTATTATCACAGGATGGGAGAGGAGGGTTAAGGACAGCCTCAGGAAGGGGCAGCAGCTGCAGCCCAGGGCTGGCAAGAGGCTTGGAGAAGAGATGGAGTCTGTAGGTCCTTGATGGTCCCTGCCCTGGAGATGAGGAGGGCAAGGTTTCTTAATCTCCACTCTAGGAAACCTTCACTTTCTCAAGGGTCCTTGCCAAGTGGTATGTGCCAATGTCGCCGGCCGTCTTTGCTTCAAAAATAGTCATTAGGAACAAAGGAAGAGCTCACGCCCTCCACTCTCCAAAAAAGTAAAGGTCCCTTCCCCACCAAGAGAAAAAAAATCTTGCTTAGGAATCATCGGTTTATCAGATTGCTGGACACTGCATATATAGCATATAACTTCCAATTCTTCCCATAGCTTCCAGTGAGGATTCCCACTCTCTCCCTCCCTCCACACAAGGCCAAGAGTTCCAGGGAGAGCTGGCAAAAAGAGCTAATCTGCAGCAGTTTCTCAAGATATGCATATAACTGAGTCAGGCTTCTTGGGAGTAATTGCAGGGGATCTGGAGGGGGGAGGAGGGACAATTAAGCTTCACTGGAAGAAGTTAGGGAGTTGATGGAAAGAAGGCAGCCACTTAGGGCTACAAGGGCAGGAGGCAGTGTGGCAGTGGGCACAACAGTCCAGCGAAGAAAGGGAAAAATCATCAGTCCATTTCACCACCAAAAAATAAAAGTACATATATTATAAGCCCAGATGTAGCGGAGAGAGTGGTGCTAAATCTTCTGCTGTAGGGAA